CCGTACCGCCATAGCACGCTCATGTTTTATCTCCTCCTCTGTCACTCAGGCTCGGCCCCTCCAGGCTCCTGAGGACAAGCCGACACTGCCATCTACACGCCTGACAAGGGCACGGCACGCTGCTGAGGCGTCCGCTCTCCAGAACATGGCCGCTGGGAAAACAAAAGCCGAGCCACAGAAAATGGCTGACCGGACGCTGGCAGCCTGAGGCCCGCCTTTAGATCTCTGACATGGGAGTTCAGGGCATGGACAGCAAGAACTAATCCCTATACATCTTCTGTATGGAAGCACACAGGGATATTGCGCTGGGGACAGTCGGTATCTAAAGATAGATACGCACAGCTATATAGAGCTATTTATAGATACATTTCTCCTCAGAAATCTGCAAAAAAAATGTTTTTGTTTTTAATAGCAATTTACATTTTTTTTTCATACTATATTTTTATGTAGCATTACATTCGTTAGAAATCCTACTTGAACTGGAAGCAAAGGCTACCCGATAATGTACCTGTTTAAAGGCTAATTTCACCTTTTGCAAAAACATATTCACAACGCAAAAGCATTGCAACTGTGATAAGTGGATTGTGGGTGCAATGCTCTGGCTCTTGCAGACTGTTTCTCCCAGTCCCTTCCATGCCACTTTCAAGAAATTTCACCAGCACGCTTAAATATCTTGTGCAATCATTCTGGGCCTGATGAAGGGGACTCTGTGTGGCCCCAAAAACGCTGGCACTTGAGTGGAAATATTGGGCAATAAATAGACGTTTGCTGATTGCACTTATTATTTTTGTGTGCTGGTGACATTTCTTGAAATTTGTTTATCTCAAGGCACCAACCGTGGTCATTACAAGCACCCACTTGCATGGGAACGTATCCGGCAAGGAGTGCAGCAAGACATCTTTTCATTACTTGTCCATCCCAATGTACAGATCTTCTCTCATGAAGCTGGAGGAAGCATGAATGGACTATGAATTCAATGGCATCACCTCATGTGTAATCCAGAGTTGTGTTCAGTTCCTTAGCCAAGTGCTGAGTAGCTGTTCTGCAGTACTTTGGTTTGCTGGGGTTCAGGCACCTTTCTCCCATGCCTTCCAGATTTGCCCACCGTTAAAATGTCCACACCTCTGTAACAGTGAGCACTCTATCCACTTTCACTTCTGCTGCAAGTGCTAAATTAGACATGCTGAGCGCTGACTTGCAGCACAGCGTTCAGTGGCGGTTTGTTAACTCAGCACTCACAGCATCAAAGCAACTGAACGCACCTCAGATCTACAAGTCCCACTGCTGCAGTAGCAGATGGGAGTTGTAGTCTTTTTGTTCACAAATCCTGTGAATGGAATGATGTGGCTGTATAGGTAGAGGCACACACAGCCATGCCACATTCAAATTAGACAAGAGAGGCATCCTCCGATATAGTAAAAGGGGGATGAGAGTTGGGGGTGGAGCGTTGCAATGTGACCATGTTTCCTGCTTCACCATAAAAATACAATGGCAAGAAAAAGTATGTGAGCCCTTTTGAATTAATCGGTTTTCTGCCATATAATGTGATCTGATCCTCATCTAAGTCACAACACTAGACAAATACAATGTGGGAACAATTCTACTTTCTTGTGTATTTATTAAACACACCCATTAAACACAGTGCTGGAGGAAAAAGTAAGAGCCCATAGACCAATTACTTCAACGAAAGCTAATTGAAGTTAGCAGCTTGCACACCTGGAGTCCAATTAATGAAATTAGTTTGGAGGTGTGGTTTAGAGCTACTTTGATTGATAAAGACACTCAAACATTTTAAGATTGCTGTTCATAGCAAGCATCAACTAATGTGAACCATGCCTCACAAAAAGAAGCTCTCTCAAGACATATGATCAAGACTATTTGATCTGCATAAGACTGGAAAGGGATACAAAGCCAAGTCAAAGTGTTTAGGCATCCATCAGTCAACAGACAAATTGACTATAAATGGAGACAGTTTAGTACTGTGGCTACCCTTACTAGAAGTGGGCGCCAAGCCAAGATGACTAAAAGCACAATGCAGAATCCTCAATGAGGTAAAGAAGAACCCACGAGTAACAGCTAAAGATTTGAAGACATCACCGGAACTGGCAAACATCCCTGTTCATGAGTCTACCATGCATAAGTCTTGCAGGGTGTCCATGGCAGAACACTACTGAGGTGCTGTGCACCTGAAGTTAGCCAAAGAGAACCTTGGCAAACTGCAACACTACTTAGGAAATGTTTTGTGGACTGATGAAACACAAGTTGAATTGTTTGTGAAGAATACTCAGCACTATGTATGGTGCAAAAAGGGCACAGCTTACCAACATCAAAACATCATCCCAATGGTGGAGGGTGTGCTGGTAATGAGGTTGTAGCACCTGTATATTAATTTGAACATTCCTCTTTGCCATATTTTGCTGAAACTCCTAGTTCAAATCACAACAGGGTGCCCTGACACCGATGTGTTAAAATTTGTTTAGGCCATCTCAACATCGGAAGTTAATTTCATGACACAATAATTGAGGGGTTATCAGACAGCAATATGAAAGAATATTAAACTATGTTGATAGTTATGAAATTGACAGTTTGGGAGGAGCAAAGAAGGACATCGGAAAGGCTTAGCCCTCCTGTTCACCCTACCCAGCCCTGCCTTATAGGCCATGTCCGTGACACCTCCTAGAGAACCGACAAAAAGCTTCTGCAAGGCTTCCATAACATCGAGAAGTTCTTGTAACATCAAGAAACTTGCAACACCAAAACTCATAACATCGGACGGAGAAGCTTGTGTAACATCCAAGAAGAGTTCCCCTTTAGCATCAAGAAAGAATCTTTGCTAACCTTACTGAAAAAAAGATATTCAGATCTATCTTCTGTGCATTGAACTGGACTCTGTCAAAACTTACAAACCCAGGACTGTTAAGTATTCTTAATTTGATTCCACTATTTATTTTCACTGCTTATATATTTGTCTCTTTTTTTTTTTGTACCATCTTTTTCTGTATATTTTTTTCCTGCACCGTTTCCTTTATTAAAGGTACGATCTTAAAAATCATTAAGCTTAACAATACACTCTAAATAAGTAATCAAAGTATCCTTGTCTCTGTGATGAGCGCTAATGTAAAGTGAAACCTGTCATATTCCTACCGTGTTTACCCGAAAATAAGACGCTGTCTTATATTTTTTGTGGCTCAAAAAACACTCTAGGTCTTATTTTCGGGGTCGGTCTTACTTTTTTTTTTTTAATGTATAACAATCCAAAGTTATTGCAAATCCAAATTAAATCATCCAAAATGGCAAAGTTAAGAATAGGGTGATCAGGGCAATCAGGGGTGCCATAGCTTTCCAAGAGCAATATGGTAACCAGAATGAGCAAAGCGCACTTTCACTATCGATTCCTCACAGGTGGAGTGCATTTGGTATCACTCTGCCTGTGACATGAGGCGGCGCTATAGAGGAGGCATCGGCTTATGCGGCTCTGCTCCCTGCACTACTGCCTCGCTTCCTCTAGCGCTGGCTTCGTTGGCACCGCTGATTCTCTCCCGCAGTTCTTCAAGTTCCCCCTTATACCACCAGCGGCCCTGGAAATGGTCACAACTAGGTCTTATTTTGAGGGTAGGTCTTATATTTTAGCAATTCCCAAAAATAGTACTAGGTCTTAATTTCAGGGTAGGTCTTATTTTCAGGGAAACAGGGTATCTAAAAGGACAGCGGTGTTATAGGCTTTGTCTATGTTTTGAATTGTCACAGCATTTGTTGAATGGTGCATTTTTCCGTTAAAACACATGGTGGCAATTACTGTTTTGTTGGAAAAGATTAACTGCAGAGTTAACCAACCCTAGTGATGATCGCTCTCAGTCTGCTGGCCTGAGATTGTGGTGCCACAAACTGGGAAATCTCTCTGCAGGGTGAGGCTAGAAGTGGTATCGCCACATCTTTGTGACAGCTCGGTCGGTTTGGAACTGTGTATAGTCACGTGTTATTGACAAACTGTGAGTCCGTAATGGTGCCTCCGTCACATCATGATTTGGGCTTGCTTCGCTGCCTTAGGGTCTAGACCACTTGCCATCATCATGGGAAAAATTAATTACTAAGTTTACCCAAATATCCTACATGATAATGTCAGGATGGCTGTCCAGCAGCTGAAGCTTAGTAGAAGTTGGGTGATATTGACCCCGGTCTTGCTTCCTGTATCCTGTATTTATCTTGCATTAGTTCCTGTCTTGTATTTGTTTCCTGTTCCTGTCTTGTGTCTTGCTTTCTGTTTATCTTGTACCTTGACATCAGTCAGTACTTCTCCTTGTTCCTGGGGGTCAGCCTGTGGCATCACCTGATCAGAGCAAATAGTTTAAGTCCTGGGGGCATCCAAGTACCGGTAGGGCATGCTTGCCTTATGGAAACGGCGGCTGCTAAAGGTGAAACAACTCGTCGCTATTGGTTCTGACAGTGCGCATCTACAGCTGGTCCTGACAGCCACCAAAAGGGAAGGCAAATGAAAAACGTATTTCTCTTTTGTTCATTGAAGGACACGGTGGAGATCTTGATCTCTGTACCGAAGGGTTATACCGCCGCTTGCATGAGTAAGATCTGCTTCATCAGTTTCTCTCCAGCTTCTGTTGCCGCAAAGTGACAGCAGAATGCAGAAGGGATGTGATATACATCACTTCCTACATTATCACACCGGAGAGGAGACTGGAGGGAGATCGCAGAGCTTGGGACCAGCGCTGTGTGGGCGCACCTAAACTGGGCGTTGAGGCGCGCATTAGTGGACGGGGCTAACAGGCAGTTTTTAGACACCATGTTACATTCAAGAAGCTTCCGGGAAGCAGTTAAAGTGACACTAAACTCAGGAGTTACATCTTCAAAATACAATGAAGTACCTTAACTATTAGCAAAAAGTGTATCTTATTTGTGTATCACTCAGACGTAGGTCCTCAAATCAACTCTGAATTGGTGCTGACACTGTCCTTCCTTCTGGAGGGTGGCTACTTTTCTTCCCGATGGTCCCTGTGTGTGTGTGTGTTTTGTAAGGTAACCACGGCTCCAAGCTCACTCCCATGATGGACTACAATCTCATGTTTATTTTTTATTGAAGTTATAGTCTATCACGCGAGATGCAGGTGTAGTGCTGGGGTCTGAGACCTGCAGTGCTTACAATCGGGGCGCTACCAGGAAATACAGCTTCATGGTTGCTTAGTACAGCTGTAAAACTGCCCAAATT